GGTTGTTTTTATCCATGATGATGATGATGATGATGATGATGATGATGATGTATTCCATCCTGCTTCTGCTTCAAGAACTTTCATAAAGTACGTAACGGCGTTACGTAATTTATGTCAAAAATGCTTTGAAGTTTAAATCCAGGATGGGGTCTATTTAGGTTCTTAACGACACCCTTCTTCTCGCTTACTCAGATTAAATATTATAATAAAAGGGGAGAAATTATAATTCAAAAGGCAACACTGCCCGTAACTTAATTCCTCTCGCTCTTCAGATTTAGCACTGAGTTATAATCGCCTCTTAACAGTATTGAAGAGGTTTACCGGTATCGTTTAGTTTTTGAGACTGATAAAGGGCTGCGCTTTATAATACGTCACTAGTTTTTTAAACGGTGTTAGGAGAGAAACGTCTTTGAAAAGAAAGCATAAAGCTCGGAAACGAGTGAATATTTTCAAAGAAGAATTTTGGGAAAGATCGAGCTAGGTCGTTGAGGCACTTATGTTTTGACTAGCCGAAGATAGATTATACCCCACAAAGATGCAGCATGGAGCGGTTAAAGCCAGAGGGGTTTGAATGCAGCGCAATGTTGCTAAGTTTCATTTGGAAATGGATTTATCAACTCAAAAATGTAAACTCTACAAGTCAGTAGAGCTAAAATGTAAGCTGAATTGAATCTCCTTCAAAAAGATGAATAGGCAAAAAATATTTTTTGAGGAGGAGTAGTTACTCCGAGTGCACGGTACGGTGCTTTGTCCTGGAAGCAATACTATTCAATATGAAGTTAATAATAGCCACAATGTTTTGGTAAAATTGCAGGGGGCGAAACAACGCTGTAACAATGTTGCCGCACCTATAGAGTAAGAGCCATTATTCACATTTCAAGCACATGTTTCAGAGATTTGGCTGAGGAAACTGTATGAGTATGAATAACATGAGGCGTGTCTTACATCACCTGCAACAAACTTTAGTTGTACATTTAACGTGTTTTCATGGCATGTTACGTTCGCAATTAAGTCCAACGATGTTGCCAGAAATATTTGCTGGATTGGCTAGGTGTCAGGTAATCCTTATTGGGAAATAATGCCGGGAAATGTTACCGGTATAACTTTACCAAAAATATTACCGGAGTGTTACTCTGCAATGCGAAGGGTTTCCTATCAGTTACATTAGAGCGGTGTTACTGCAATTTCCAAGCTCTTATTTCCGGAAACTTTAGGCAGCCACCGGCCACCCCCTTTGTAGGGCATGGGACCAGAGGCGGACTGCGTTCAAATTCGGGGTGCCAGCCCCATCGGAACACAGTGGAACGAGTCTTCGGAAGAAGTCGAACATGACATTTTTGAAAAAAATTGTAAAATCGTACGTTCATTTCGTCATAATTTTAATTTTAAGGGGTGCTTTTTATAGCAAAATTTTACGAGAAAACCAAATAAACTACCTTATTCACATTAGCATTTCATATTAATGAAGAGACACGCTTTTAAGGTTTTCAAAGCATGTCCGACCTCTCCCATTGACTTGAGCCACTGTGCGGCAAGAGGATTGGGGATCTTCCCCACGAAAGGCAGATCCTGTTCAATAGAGGTTCCAGCAGGCTGATTGTTGAAATTGATAGACAAGGAAGACAAAAGGGATATGGAGGAGTCCTATTGGCGTAAGCGGGTGGTTGCAATGGATAAAGGATGTAGGTAATAGACTAACTAACGGCAACCCACGAGAGATCCTATAGTTAGCCCATCATTATCTCCCTTAGTCTATAGGAATCACCCATTTTAACCAACAGGATCGCTCTATACTCCCTATGTCTTCTTTGTCTATCGATTTGTCTATCAATTTCAATAGTCAGCCCGCAGGAGGCTTTGCGAGATTCCTGAAAATGCGTCAAAAGAAGTCCCTGCGCGGCCCTTTCTGCCGCAGTTTAAGAGGCGATCGCCCTGTAGCCTCCCTGGGGTCAGTCCGTCCCTGGCGGGAAATCCATTAGTGGGAATGGAAAATTTGCAGGTATCAGATGATGAATTTCATTTATAAATGGAAACTAACCCAATGAACTTCGCGGTCATAGGCTTCGGCACGTCCGATCATTGGCGGATTCAGCAAATTGGCAACATTGCTTTTCATACATTTAAGCCTATGGAAATGTATCGATTTTCGGAAAAGGCAGTTGCTCCGACACAAATCGACTATTCAACACAGGTTTAAATGGAGGAAAGCCAGTGGTGCCAAATTTCTGGATCCGCCTCTGCGTTCGATCGGTTTCTGAATTGGACTGCATTTTGCAAAAAGGAATAAGTGCAATTACAGTGTTGTTAAAATGTTGCTTCTTCATCATTATGGTTTCACGACATTTTGTCAACGATTTTTGGTCCGCGCACCTTTTTTGTCCAGTAGTTTACGCCCACACGTAAAATAAGCAACTGTGACTTGGTCCAAGCGTTATATTTTAGTCGGTGTGTAAAATTATATTGACAATATGGAAATGATAAATTGGGAGAGAAGGAGGTGTTTTTATGGTTGCTCATTTTCTAAATGAAATGTTATTACTTTCTCCTTTCGAATCACCTTTTTAAATTGTCATTGGTGAATGTTTGGTTTTGTTTCTATCCTTACAATGTTCGATGTAAAATATACCTTATACCTTATATATGTATAGGTACTTTTCTTTTCTTTTCTGACTTTTTTCTTTGCGAAATTATTACTTCATTTTGAAAATTCTCATATTTTTAAAACGTGACAAATATTTGTAACACCTTTTCCATTTGTAAAACAATGAGCCGCGATTGTGCCAACAGAAACTGCAAAAATGAATAAAAGAGGGGAAAAAACCAAGAAGCACGCAATCTTTAGTTTTAACCCATTTCTACATCGATCTCTTAGAGTCGAATACGTCAAATTTTGAGCCTTTGTGCGTACACTTCTCTGCAGCACAATAAAAGCACAAAATGTAAAAGAAAAAATTAAAGTGCTTTGGAAATCATTAAATTTGACACGGAACCACCAATATTTAAAAAATACACATTATATTATTATTCTCCTTTGATAAATTGATACGTATTTTTTTTCCATCAATTTAAATGAGAATAATCAATGCCGAGTGTGCAAACAAACCAAAATCCTGAGTTAAAAAACGCTGACTATGCGAGTATGAATATTAAAGCCTAACAGAGCGGAGCGGCGCGCGGCGTGCTCGCCAACGAGAGAGGCTCACTGGCGCCTACAAACCTAAGTGGATACTTCACGCATTGCACAACGCTTGAAGTATCCGCTTAGGTTTGTAGGCGTCAATGCGCGTCTCGCGCTGGCCGCCCGCCCGCCGTGCGGCGGCGCCTGAAGCACTATTTCACAACAGAGGTGTTGCTGTTGCATAGTATTATACGAAATTGAACGTATTAAGAATGACAGGCATCCTTTAAAAATACAGATCATTCCTTGCAAAATAAATTAAGATACTGATCGTACACAGGCTGAGGAAAATATAGAGGTTTAGCTGGTTCAGGTATAACAAGGTGGGAACATCTTGAAAGATAATTAAGTTCTGTTACACTAAAAAGGTGTAGAGAGTTTTAGTGAATTTTGTCTCATGGAATTGACACTCCCCCATTTTTACCAAAACTCTCAACTATATATTATTATCCGTTGGACCAAACAGACAAAACCAAAAAAAAACAAGCAAACCCTCATTCTTCCAAGACATTTCACATTTTCATCCAAAAACGTCGTGAGCAATTGTCGTTTGTATTTACATGTGGGCCAATTAACTTTAGGTCTCAACTGGCACGTGGACCAAAACTCCCGTGCCGAAAAAACGCGTGGACGTAAATTACTGGAAAAAAACAGGTGCGCGGACAAAAAACCTTGTCGAAATGTCCTATAACCATAACTATCTAAAAAATCTTCCAAAATAGCAAATTGTTTTTGCATCTTAACAAAAACTTGTTAATTTTAAAGGGAAATAATTGTGTAAATTTTAACACTGTACTGATATTTAGTATTTTGAAAGGAAAAAAAGAAGTTGCATAACTTTGAAAACACTGTAATCACGCTGGTTCCTTTTTGCTTAATGCGATCTAATTGAACAACTGAAGAAACTAGCTCTTTCGAATTAGCACGAATGCCTTTGCAATGCTGCATAGATTGTGCGTTGTTCTTAAAGAGCGAAATAGAGGTCATGACGATTATTTTTTCAATGAATAATTACCTTAAATTTACTAACATTTCTGTAAAAAATGTATGTATGCGTGTGGGTTTGATCCAACGTAAATCTAGACAAAGACGCCGTCGCATGGCGCTTGTGATACTTTGGCCGGAGAGTGACAATACAGTCATGTTGATCTAACATGACTATATCACGTTTCCTCAACATTTTTTATTAAGTTCCATTAAGATCCTGAAATCTTGTGCCACCCTCAAGGTTCATGAAGCATATTTTTTTTTATTCAGACATTTTTCGCCCTTTTCCATTTTTTCTATTTTTCTGCCTTTGGTTGCCTTTTGCCCCCTTTCACTCCTTTTTAGTACACTGAAAAAAAACCCGGCAGTAGAAAGCCGTATTAACGAGCTATATAGACTTACCGTCCGCGTTCCGAGCTCAGAGGCCGAAAGTTCCGGGCGTACCACCCGGAACTTCCAGCCTCTCACTGAAAAAAAAAAAAAAAAAAAAAAAAAAAAAAAAAAAAAAAAAAAAAAAAAACACATTTGATCTAGAGTCCAGACTCTTGAAAACATTGACAAGAAAAAATACTCTTGATTCAATCGGATTTTTGCTTGAATCAAAACGAAATTCGCTTAAATTAAGAGGCCTGGTTCTTGATTTAAGCTAGATTCTGATTGAATCAAGAGTATTTTTTCTTGTCAATGTTTTCAAGAGTCTGGACTCTAGATCCAATGTGTTTTTTTTCCAGTGCTGAGCCCGGACGGTCGGCGCGTCTATATAATCCGTAACTTTGTGTTGAGTGTATGATTGATGAATTAATATGCGTATGTGATGTTTTTGGTGTTGGGTCAGGTCGGGACGGAGACGCTGTTCCTGCTCTCGGCGAGCGTGGTGGGAGTCTACTACCGATACATGACCGAGGTGGCGCATCACCAGACGTTCGTGGGCACGCGCACATGCATCGAGTCGCGGGTCAAACTCGAGTGCGAGAAGGAGCAACAGGAACAACTCCTCCTCAGCGTCATCCCCGCTTACATTGCTGCCGAGGTATCGTCTTTCAATATCCTCTTACCCGTTTATTTCCACCTGCGGGCTCATTGTTGAAATTGATGGACAAAGCGATAGACAAAGAAGACGTAAGGAGTATGAAACGATCCTACCGGTTGAAATGGATGCCTCTTATAGACTGAGGAAGTAAATGATGAACTAAATATCGACGGTGAAACTACCAAACCACATATCTCGTTTGCGGTGTTTAAAAATCTACGCTCACATTTTATGTTTTTGAAGTAGACCAAATCAATATCATTCCTTGAAATTTTCACGGAATTTTCTCCGCACAAAGAGAAAAAATCACAGAAATTTTCAAGACTGGATGTTAAGTAGTTTTTCATTTAAAAAATAAAGTATGACAGGAAGTCTGCGACGTCGCAAACCGAGATACGTGGTTTGGTAGTTTCACCGTCGATAAGGAGTATGAAACGATCCTATCGGTTGAAATGGATGCCTCTTATAGACTGAGGAAGTAAATGATGAACTAAATATGGGGTCTCTAGTGGGTTGCCGTTAGTTGGACGTATTTCTGCCAAACGGAACTAAGCGCCAATTTGAGTTCCTTTTGAGGAATTTAGAATGCCGGATAGCGCGTTCTGTCAAACGGAACTAAGCGCCATGGAAAAGCATTGCGAGTATAGGACGGAATGAGCCCGACGCCCGTTTCCGCAGCCAATCCAAGCCCCCCTCTACCCTCCTCCCCATATGGCGCTTAGTTCTGTTTGACAGAAATACGCCCAGTTAGTCTATTACCTAACTCATTTGTCCATTGCATCCACCAACTTCCACCAATAGGACCCATCCATATTCTTTTTGTCTTCTTTGTCTACCGCTTTGTCTACCAATTTTAACAATCAGCCCGCTGTAGTCATTGCAGATATAAGCCATAGGCGAAACACTTTAATGGGGGGGGAGGAGACAGACGGGGGGCTTTCCCCGGAAAATTGTTGACATTTTAAAGCACCTAATACGCAGTGTGAGTAGATTTGTCATGAATAATTACCAAATGGACCACGTCTAGCAGAAAAGAACCAAGCCACATCAAATTTAACTGGCCCATTTAATTTTTTACAAGAGAACGTTTATGTGGCTTTCTTTGAGGATGCTGAGCAATTTGCTCCGTACTATGCAGGATATTCGCTGAAATATTCCAAAAAATCCACGCAACCTTTTTCAAGTAAAAAATTAAATCACTCGATTAAATTTGGCATGATTGATGTGGCTTGGGTCCTTCCTCCTTAACACGGTCCAAATGCCCCTTATTATGAATTTTCGCCCTAATAAATCGACGGTGTAAGTCGGCAATCACATATCTCGTCTGCGGTATCTGAAAATCTCCGCCTCTATGTTAATTTTTTAAAGGAGAACAAGTTGACATCATTACTTGAAGTTTTTGCAGAATTTTCTTCGCTTTGAGAAGAAGAATCATAGCAGTTTTAAGGAACTGCCGTTGAGTAGTTTTCCGTTTAAAACATAAAGCATGACAGGAAGTCTGCGACGTTGCAAACTGAGCTATGTGATTGCCGACTTACATAGACGATACGCTTTTGCGCCGACCATCGACCGCAGTGTGTTAGGCGCAATGCGTGAAGTATTCATGCAGTCTTGTAGGCGCTTATATGCTTGTCGCGCCGACCGGCGCGGCGCGGCACAGCGGCCGCACTATGTTCGGCGAGATTAGAGACGATGATTTTATGCTCTTCCATTTTAGTAAGAACAGTTTGTTTCTTCAAGCTCACTATTTTCAAGGTAATTGCAGGTCTCGTGATGAAAGCGCGATTTCAAGCAAAATTTGACTCTCTCAATCGCAGAGAACCATCACGATATCTCTTAAACTGGAAGTTACAACTTAACAAATTTAAAGTGCTTCTCATAGGAAAATGTTTGCTCTTTATTAATGATCCGATGACATTTTCCCGTAGGACTGATTGTTTTTTAGATATCAGCGAAAAACCTGTCCCCGGCGGCAAATTTCGGCCCCCCAGCTCACTTTCTTTTCGAGATGGTGGCCTTAGTTTTGGGCTAGGTTGAAATTTTGGGCTTCGGTCCTTTTTCAAGAAAATGAAGGAAAACTACTTCATTTTTACTAATTTGTTAAAAAAGTATGTTCAAAGTGGGTTTTGAAAGTTACAGCATTCATGTTCGTTTATTAAGTAGAGCTTGAAGATCTAAAGTAAAAATAAAGAATAAAACGAATCTGAAAATTTTAAACTTACGCACTTGTGTAAAAATCTGATGGAAGTGGCGTGATGAACAGTTCATGTCCATCAATATTTAATTATACTGACGGTCATTATGGTCGACTATTGATTTGTGAATGCCTCATCAGTAATATTTAATAAGTTTATGTTATCGTTTCAATCAAAAATCAATTTGTCCTTTGCCTGATTTTCTACTGATTCATTTCCGTTAATAGCATCAAACGAGATCATTTTGTCGTTGAAATTCAATTTGATATCTATCACCGATATGCATTTCAGTGAAAAATCCTTATAGTGTCGTCGTATAATTTTCGGGGATTAAATATTAAAGAATACAATTTTGTGAGAGAAAACGACGGCGTGGTTCTCTCTGAAATTAACTATCAGGACCAGGTCCAAAAAAAAGTTATGTGATCCCGTATCGGAGATAACAACAGCTCCTAATGGTATGAGACAGTGCATCGATACTCAAACTCATGATTCAGAAATAATACTGAATATATTAGCAGGGTTAATTCTTTGTGCAGGGACTCCAGGTATGAACATGACAAACTTTAGTCACAGTCGTGTCAACCCCTCTAATGTATTCAGCCCTATCTCTAAATGGAAAGTTTCACTGAGTAATAGAGGGCACCTACACGTAGCAACGGCACTCATCCGCTATAATTCTGACTTTAAAACTTTTATTAAGTTTTGAATTAGATTTTACATAAAACCAGTGGTGTAACCGCGTCTCGTGCATAATTTTACCTGAAAAAGATGGTTACATCAAATATTTTTTGACACTTGTCGAGACTTTTACTTTTGGAAATTTCCATCAGATTTTTGTATAGAATAAGTTATGGCCTAATTGCAACATACCTATCTGTGCAGAGGCCTCCATTTGTACACCACGACAACGACCAAAAAAGGATCAAAGTTTAGACGGAAATTGTTTTGGAGTTTCCTGCTGTTAGATACAGAAACACTGCCTCTAAAGAGATTTACTTAGGAGTGAATAATCATTTCAATACAGATATTCACAATCAATTTTAGGTACTTGAATATTTAAATAGATAAAGCATCAAATCTTTAGGTGGAATTAAAACGATTTCACGTACGTGGAGAAATGTTTATAAACAAGATAAGATGATGATGATGACAAGACAACATAACCTACCTAACCTTCGAATCGATGATTATTGTTAATTTGCTGCTCAGAGGGTAATTCCTGGCCTACTTCGAAAATTGAAGGCGAAACAAATATTTGAGGAACATCCCAACCATTTTCGTTTCCATTCTAGTTCCTCAAAATTTTCAATCCTAAAATGCCCCTAAAAAAATCAAGATTTGAAATATTCCCGGCGATTTTTTCTGGTGGTGTGGTTTGCGAGCAGCAAGAAGGGAGTCTCCCATATCCGTGCAGAACCGGGTGGATATATTGCGGTATAACTCGGTTAAGAGAACGTTGACTGTTTTGATTGGCAGGTGAAGCGGAGCATCATGCTGAAGATGGCAGACGCCTGTCAGGACGTTTCCAGCAAGCAGACCAGATTCCACGAGATGTACGTTCAACGTCACAATAACGTCAGGTAATTTTTCTTTGCCACCCCGCCCGCCCCGTTTCGCGCCCGCGAAATGATATTCTCTCGCCGTTTCACTTAAACTTATTTTTTATCCTCCTTCACTTACGCGCATTCTCGCTTCCGTTTTGTATGGAAATTGCTTCCGATGCCGCCGCCGGCAACCACAACAAACACCTGCAGTTTCGCTGCTGCCCTCGCAGTGTGTTTAGGGCTGAGATAAAAGCAATTTGCTAGGACTAAGGGCGAATTCACGGTCGCTCTTCAAACATCCCTGTTCCTTGGGGGAAGCTCATATCCACGCCGAAGGTGAGACTAGAAAATCTCGTGCCACGGATCGCTTGGTCGAGTGGTTTCGATTTACATTTTATACCAGTATATTGCAATGAAAGGAAAGAGGAGTTCAAAAAATCTCTACTACTCGACTTGCTCTCCAAAATATCAATATTTCCAAGAGATTGAATAACCGAAAGGAGACAGAGGATCTCCAACAACCCAAATTAATTTTAAGTTAGACAATAAGCTTCTATTGGACAGGGGGGAATTAACTTTAAAATGTACTTAGGATCTTTAAATTGAAAATATACACACAGGCCTTCGGGTGAAACACTGTCTCGTTTCATTCCACCTTGTCAACAAATCAAATAAAATAATTGTTTATTGAAAAAAAAAAAAAAAAAAAAAAAAAAAAAAAAAAGAGATTGAATAGACTTTTTACCTTGTACTCTTGATGTAAACATTTTTAGTGTTGATTATACAATGATCATTTTATTTCAGCATACCTGAAGATGGCAAAGTAAATGCCGAAAATGATCATTTGTATCTTTGTATAATCAACAAAACAAAAATTTCACATCAAGAGTACATGATAAGAAGTTTATTCAATCATAACATGAATCCTGATTAAGTTAAAATCTTCCAACATTTTTCTCCAAGAGACACAACAAATTGATTTTCTAATGCGTATAAGCAATGTACGTTTTCCTTTTTGTATGGTCAAATTTTTGACTGTGGGTATGGATCTATTGCAATGAAACTGAAGGATATTTATAAAAAATTCTGATTTTTGAGAACCAAACATTTTCAAAGAAGGTAAAAACTTCAACAAAACTCAATGAAAACGTATAACCTAAAATGTACCTCACACCTAAAATGTATTTTTGAATTCGGTATTCGCTGTATAAGGGGAGAGAACAGAATTTTAAAAAAATATCCTTGTTCTTGAACAACATTTTGAAAAAAGGAGAAACTTTACTCACACGCGTCACACATTTTAAAAACACAAAAATTTATGTTTTTTTTGTTCAACTGAACATCAAATTTTGATTTATATTTATTAAAATGAAAGAGAAACGAATTTTGGAAAATTGCACGAGCATAAAACTATTATTACTTAAAGAATGGGCAACTCTCAAAAAAAGTTGAAATGGTGTGATAAAAACAAAAGAAACATGGATAAGACATTTTTGTTTTTCTCAGGTGGCTGAGTAGCATTTTTTAATGTGAAATTATTGTTGACTTATTTTCTCCTACTCTAAAACATTCTAAAACTTTAAAATTAGTATTTCTTATGGAAATATTACGTGCTCAGAAACTTAAAATTAATCTCGCTTATTTAATGAAAGCTTGTCCTAACAAAAAACGATTGAACTGTTCCAGTATTTTGTATGCAGACATAGTAAATTTCACTCCTCTCTCGGAGCAGCTTAGCGCCTCGGACCTGGTTAAAACCCTTAATGAGTTATTCGGACGTTTTGATCAAATTGCGCAGGTAAGATATTTATAGCTGTTATGAGTTTATACGCACAAGTAAATGCACGAGGAGATGCATGTTTAAAAGATAATAATAGTAAGGGGCGCAGAGGGATTGTTTCATTTATAAGATTTTAGGAATTTCACGCTCTCACATGGGGTTTTACACTCCCCGTGGAGTTCTTTTTAATTAACTTTCCGCTTTTCATTTGAGTGCCCGGCAAGCCGCTTTTATTGCAAATTAACTGCTCGCTCAACTCGCAGATGCGGGTGAGTTGCCATGTGTTGCAGCACGATCGGAGGGATGTAGAAAAATTGGACGTATTTCTACCAAACGGAACTATGTGCATTTTGACGTGAGCCCTGTTATGCATATATTTTTATGGGTCTCAGGGCTCGTATCTGAATGCACATAGTTCCGTTTGGTAGAGATACGTTCAATTATCGATGGTGAAAGTCGAGAAACATGTGTGGCGATTCGCAACGTCGAGGTGGATTTTCTCTCACAATTTAATATCTTAAACGAGAATTAACGAATATTATTTTTAGGAATTTTTGCCGCCTTTTCTTCATCAGATGCGGAATATATTGTGAAAATTAAAAAAAAAGTTTATTAGGGTTTTTTTTTTAAAGTAATATATAAAACTATTTCGGAGATTTTGAGTGCGGGTGGAAGATGGTTTCGTCGAATATTAATATCATAAAACTTGACGCTAGCACTCCAGAACCCATACATCATTTACCTCCGTGAGCATTAAATGTTGAAATCTATGAAAGTTAAAATAAAATTAAGAGCCATTTAGAAAGTAGCGATCACACGAATACTCGTCGTGTCGAACTCATAACTGACACGAAAGTGCTCGTCGGACTTACCAGGAAAACGTGGTACTTTTCGGAAGTCCTTTTTCCGGAATTATTGGTGTTTTTACATGGTATAGCCTCGTCAGGCGGAGAGCACAAAATTCATAATTGCGAATTCCTTGTTTCCAGGACAATCAATGCATGCGAATAAAAATATTGGGGGACTGCTACTACTGTGTCTCAGGATTGCCAATATCAAGACCGAATCACGCCTACAATTGCGTCAACATGGGTCTCCAAATGATCGAGGCTATCAGGTAATGACTTCTTGTTTTTTCTACTCATACCTACATGTTATAAAAATCCAGATTCCATCGAATACATCATAGTTGCAAATAAGATGACCAGATCATAGGTTCGCATTTTGCACAACTATTCTAGGGACGCCGTCTTAAAAACGGAAAATTTTTCTCAAATCTGTTCTACACAAAGCCTTTTGATAAGAGAATCCTTTAGTAAAAGTCTTAGCTTGAGTTTAAAACTCATCTCAGCAATACAGCGTAGCGAAGATAATCGACGGTGTAAGTCGGCAATCACATAACTCGTTTGCGGTGTCTGAAAATCTCCGCCTCTGTGTTATTTTTTTAAAGGAGACCAAATTGACATCATTCCTTGAAGTTTTCGCAGAATTTTCTTCGCACAGAGAAGAAAAATCACGGCAGTTTTACAGAATTGCCGTTGACTAGTTTTCCGTTTAAAAAATAAAGTATGACAGGAAGTCTGCGACGTCGCAAACCGAGTTATGTGATTGCCGACTTACACCGTCGTTATACTTTTCACCCTTGAAGATGCCAATATTTTGAAGCTTTTCGATAAACTGACAATCTTAATTGGACTGCATTTTGCAATTTGGAAATATAAATTCCGGCTCATCTGAAAAAACATTAATGTGCATAGGGGAACTAATGGCACATACGTTGTTTTAAGTTGTACCAGAATTTATAGCTCCAAATTGCAGAATGCAGTCCAATTGATCCCTATTATTGTCTGAGGCCACAATTTCATCAGCTGATGACACTATAAGGGATGAGAACTATAATCAAGCAATCTGTGGTGATATAATTTTGTAAAGAATGCACGGAAAAAATTATATGTTGATTTAGCATTTATGCTGTTAAAAACATGCCCGACAAGTTTCAAATGCTGATTTTACATTTGGAGAAATGCTTACGTAATTACGCCCACTGTAAAACGAACAAATTCAAATGTGGTGTTATCATTTTTGTATTGTAAAATCAGCATTTGAAACTTGACGGGCTTTTTTTTAACAATTTAAATGCTATATCAGCATTTATTTTTTTTTTTTTTCGTGTGTAAGCACGAGGTGTCCATCCGTACTAGGCTTTTTTCTCTATTATTTTAGTTCGGTGGATGTCTGATCGTAAGACCGAAGAGGTAAATAGAGAATGGACTCCAAAAGAGGCTGAGGGACTTACAGATCATGAAAACTCGATTCGTGGGATCCATTCTCTACTCACAGCCCATCCCAAACATCATTCAACCTGAAATAATGGAGAAAAACGCCTGGCACCTGTGAGGCACTTGGTGTGTGGGACACCTTGCATAAATTTTGCATCGCTGTATCACGACTGATTGCTACATCGTTGCACCAACAACAGTCTGAATCCCCGAGGAACATCAACTGATGATATTGCCTAGAAAAAATGGGGAAATTTGTTTAATTTATATTTTAATCGTGGAATTTCAAAATATTATCACTTTTTGAGTATAGAGTTTTTGATGAGTACAATTGTAATTTCATTTTTCAAACGGCACGCGGGTGGAAAAAAATTCTGCGGGGTCTCTCATACTGATATGTCAGTTAAAATAAAGAACGAATTCAATGATATTGATGATAACGCCTTGATACAACTATTAGTACTCTATGGATGCGCGTGTTGCATATGAAAAAATGTAAGGCGCTCTGCGTTCTGGTCCTCCAGTCCATAATGCAGTGCCCGCAGCAGTGTGTGGCGTGCCGTAGCAAATATGCAGAAAGATGAAACTCTCAGTTAAAAAATAAGGTAATTAAGAGAGTAGGGAAGGATACTGTCGCACCATTTTCACTTAATAGGAAACTATATCCCACCGCCACACCCACCGCTCTGTAACAGCATGTCGCTGCGAGCACTGCTTCATGGGCTAGGATGACCTAAACGCCTTCAACTTGTAATATGCAACACGGATGTCCTTAGAGCACGTGTAGTCGCATCAATGTGTAATTGCTGATATCATTGTTCTATGCTAGGATATCAATACCGAAGCTTGGAGGAAAAACGCCGCATGAACGTTTGATTGTTGCCAAGTTTCCTCCGATTAAGTACGAATTTCCTAGAATACTTGTCAACTCTTCATTGTTAATATTTTAGAGAATTTTCTGCGTATTTCAATCTAATGATTACGAAGATTTAAAGGGAACATTTAAATTTAATTTCCTAGTTTTCCTCAAAAATGACGTTTTATTAGAGGATGTCTGGATCTTCAAACGACGTTTTTCCGCCACGGCAAACTTGATCTCGTGGCAGTCAAGCCTGGTTTGGTTGGTTTGGGACACCTTGAATAAACTTCGCAACGCCGGATCCCTCTTGACTGCTGAATTGTAGTGTCAACAGCAACCCTAATCCCTGACTAACACTACCTGTTGAAACTGTGCATCAGAAAATAGAAACATGATTGATTCGAGTCGTTTTTTTAACCAAATAACTTCATTAGTATTATAAATTTATAATTTATATTGACATTATATCATTATATAACATGCAAAATATTAGCATTTTCATTGTAAAAAATGCAAACTTCGCAACTCGATAGTATCAAAATGAGCTTTAAACTCAAGCTAGAACTTTAATCAGAGAATTTTCCCATTATTAGGGTTTGCATGGGGCAGAAATGAAGGAAGACCCAACGTTTCCAAAAAAGGGGCATTATTTGACAGGCTCTTTCTCTGACCTCCTTCGATGTTTTTTTTTCTCTCAAATTTCTAAATTTCTGTGCATTTTTCTCTCATTATTTATACATATAAAATACCTCTATGAAGCTCTTCATTTTCCTTTGATATTGGTTGATATTACTGCAATGACGTTGCGTTTGAAATAGAATCACGCACGCAGCCTCCTGTACCCATTGGAATGATAATTTTGAGGAAAATGAGATATATTTTCTTTAATATTGATAGGAACCGTAAATACCGAATTCAGGAATAAACATTTTTAAAAAATTCAAAGGAAGCAATACATTTACAAATTTCTCAGAGGATGTTTCCCTTCTTAGAAGAAAATTAGCAACGTCCAAATATTTCAGCGAATTATTAAGGGTGTTTTCCGTCCGCACGGTGGGCCGTGAAATAAATCTCGAAGATGTCATTGCCAAATTTCCTGCATATTTCGCTTCGTTGAGTGAAACCCGAACTGCGTTTCTCCTCCAGAACTGGAATGACTTTTATCATTTCCCACTAAGTGCATTTTTATAATATTCACGAACGTATTAAATTTACTCCTTCCGGAAGCAAAGAATGGAAGCGGACATTTTGAGACACCGCAGTCGAGGTAGTGTTTTTCTAGTTTCATCATCGTTATATTCATCAACATCGGATGAAAGTCATGCCGGAGGGAATACAGCGGTTTTGCCGCTTTCGTAGAGAGTTTTCCGATTTTCCTTACGATAACATAGTGAAACATGCACTTTTTTACTTGAAAATGGCAACACTGGAAAACAGAGCATGAGACCGGGCGAGGGTTGATGAGTCGTCGGGAAATAGTGGCAAAAAACAAGACTAACAACAAGATGAAGCGACGCCCGGCCTAGCCCCGCCGCGCTGCACAATGGTACACGGGCAGAATCTAAAGCGAAAAAAAATTCGTCCGATAGTTTACATCAGTGGTGACAGTCGAGGAACGTGCAACTCAGTTGCAATGTTTCAAAATATTCGACATTGTTCTATGTTTTTTGAATAAATACAAATCAAAGTTATTGCTTCAAATTTTCAAATGAATATTCCTGCAGAGAATGGAAAAAAGAACTCTGAATTGGTAAATATACATGCTATAGAAAAAGTTGTGCTCATTTATTTGCGGTCAAAAATTAAATTTTTTAAGAAATCTGTCACGCCACAAATCAAGAAACCTGTTTTCTGACACTTCATGTATCGTGCAAAGCTTTCATTCTTACCGAGTTCAGTGGTCCATGGAAACACGGTGAAAATCAGTCTTTCATAGGTGAAGAAATAAAATAATAGGAATGACTAAAACTAAGAGAGGACGAGAAGGATGAAGAGCAGGAGGGCGAAGAAAAGGAGAAGTAGGTCAAAGAAGCGGGAGCGATTCAAGGAAAATGAGAAGACGAATACAAAAATGAAAGAGGGAAAGGAAGAAAACTAATTTTTAAGTCGAAGACGACTCGGCGAAGAATGCATGCGGTGGTTCGTAAAAATGTTAAGCTGAGTCAAATTTGACGAGATTTACGAGAGTCATTCATGTTTAAATTGAATTCAAGTAATTCATAAATTACCCCCACGGATTTCGGATGGGAGCCTCGTCACTACCTCGTTATGAGGATAATTTCAAATCATAAATATTTTCCTTTCCTCACTTTTTTTCTTCTGCAAAAAGCCATCGACTTGCATCACTTATCAAGAGCATTTATTTTGAGTAATGATCAAAACTTTTATAGCTGCCGAGTTATATTGTGTACTAGTATTTATTAAAATATTTTTAGTGTGATTTCTCTCATCGGACAAATAGTGATGCAACGCACAAATATTCCATGACCAATTTAATTTCCAAAGGTTTTGCTTCATTGTGAGTGAAGACACGTTGTAAACACTTTTATGTAATGTCTGTGAGATCTTGGCTACTTTTGCCGTCTTATCTCTATCCCCTATTAAATTTTTAGGTAGACACAGAACAAGCAGCACAATGATGATCAATGCGATCCATTGCTATTGCATGGCGAGGTAATTTCTACCGCATTGGAGTGTTATGTATGTTGCTTATCTAATAATTGAAGGGGCTCCTGTTTTGGAAGTAATTAATTACGATGAAATTGAAATAAAATGGATTTTTCTTTGCATTGAAAATTGCGTGTGTATCGTTAGATTCTCAGATCGTTTCAGATTCGATATATTAGGGGCTTGGAGGACAAGGCGCGTAGGTGAAGTTTTTGAAAAAATTGAGATATTAATGATTTCAGGTGAAACTAGTCTTCACGCATATTCTGTAAAAAATTAGCTGCTAAATTCCAATTTTTAAGCCTTAAAAAG